AAAAACATAACAAATAAATTATTATAATTTAATCCTACAAAAATTTATATATAAATGAATGTGTTAATAAGTATATATTATACGAAAAATAAATTAGTTTTTCGCTGTTAAAGTTGTTTTAATAAATTAACTTTTAATATGTGTATGATCAAAATTGTTAATACAAACAATATTATTAATTTAATGTATAATAAAAATTATATATAAGAAATTATTTATGCATATGCTAAGCATGTTTTTTATGTATAAATTTTTTTATATATTTCACATTCACTATTATAGATTGTGTATATATGTACGTAGAATATACTTTTTATTTCAACAGTAGGAAATATTTATTTTTAGCTTTTACAAGTATTAATAAAAATAAAATACAACTATGTATTTTGTTGAATTATATATAACTAATATTTTGACTAGAACAATATAACATATTTATTTATCTGTAAGAATATCCTAAAATTTATTAGATAAATAAACTCATGTACTATTAGAATAGTGATTTCTAAAGGTTAATGACTAATATGGATATATCCGAAATAAATGTATTAATCCATTTGAAAAATATATCATTAAAAAAATAATATAATGGTTATTTCTTAATAAAATTTATAAATCAAAAATAAATATTAAAAACAACATATACACTTTTTTAAATTTATAGAAATATTTAAAAACATTTAATGCTGAGATTATACTTACATAGTAATATATATATATATATTCCATCATATCTCTTATGATATATTGCAATTTTCTGATATTATTATATTATCAAACGGGTTATTCGTCATATTCATAATATATAAATAATTTTTCATTTTAATTCTTCTTATTATAAATGAGTGATTAACAATATTTTTTGAAGTTACATTTGAAGGTATGAAAAAATTATAATTCAAAGAGTTTTATCACATTGAAATCATTTTTTTAAATTACTATTTAAAATTAATATTCTTTTATAAGTGAATTCTATAATTTTCATAATTATTTGTTAATATATATATTTATTTTTATCTAAGTACGTAGATATTAATGGAAGAATCATCAGATATGTATAAATTGTAATAACATTAGGACTATTGCACTTTTAAGCATAATATATATATTAATAATAATTTAATTAATTTTAATTTATTAAATATATATTTAATGTATTATATATATCTATAATTATTTATATATTTTATAGAATAATAAAATATGTAAATTATTTAACATTTATAAATGATATATTATATTTATTTCTTCTAATTTTACATGCATAACATATTATAACAAATGATACTTTGAATATTTAATAAATAATATGTATTATTCATTTTAATCATTTTCTATTTAATATTAACATTACTTTTAATAATATTTAAGAAAATAATTTAACATTCTGAAGGAAAAATGGTATATATTTTTTTAATATGAATATATAAAGTTAATAGAAGCATTGTGAATAGGATATTTTATTGAATACGAACATATTTTATACAAATTTTCTTTGATCAATATAAGAAACATTAATAATAATATAATTGTTTATATTATAAAATCATATAAAATTATTTTACATACCTTATTTAACTATTTTTACATTTTATAGATTTATTTAAATAAAATACAACAACATTTATATGCTCAAAATTTATAACATATAAAATAATAAAAATTAATGCCAAAATAAATATATATATAGGTATATTATGTTTACTTTTTAAGGTGTATAATGTGGATACTATAAAAGGTACTTTTTTTAATTCATTATAATATTGTTATTTTAATATTATTAACAGAATAGCTATATACATATAACTATTAAAATATATATGAATATGGATTAATAAATTATAAAATTAATGATTACTACATATAGAAAATTTTAATTATATATAATATATATAGTGAAATTGTTTTTTTTGCTTTCTCAATTACATTAATTATAATCTTTTTTTATAATTTTGTATAATAGAAATATGTGATTACATAGCGAAACAATATATTTTTATAGTTGTAATGATATACATGTTTGAGAATTAACAAATAATATTTAAACCTATGCATTAATAAAAAAAAAATAGAATCTATTAATATTCTGTAATGTATTCTACAAACGTAAAAAAATATGTGTAAAAACTAGACATATATTTATTATATACATGGAATTAATTAACCTCATTTAAGAAGTACATTTATATTCCTTTATTATTTTTGTACTACAGATACATGTATCTCAGTAATATATAGGAAATGCAAATAAGTAACATATTTTATAATTTTATTTAATTAAAGCATATGCATTACATTTTAATTAAATATTTGATTAAATTCTTATATTATTATCATAAATATCAATGAATACATAATTTTTAATTTTTTAATTTAACTTATTTTCATAAATTTATTATAAGAAAAGTTTATTACTATAAATTATATTAACTAAATATACAATTTTTAATTGTATTAAATTTTCTATAACTCTTGAGTTTTATATATAGTACATAATTATATATTCCCCAACGCATATAAACTACATATGAAATGAACTTTTATAATTCAATAGGATGAGTTAATTGAATACTCTTTCATTATTATAATTTTATTTATATTAAGAAATATATATATGAATTTAAAATTAACTCATGTAATTCGCATAAATCTATCTCAAAAACTCAAATATTATTCTATAATACAAATATACGTATATATTTTTATTAATAACTTTTTTACTGATTATTATAAATATTATATTTTCTCTCTTATTCATGCTAATCCATAGTTTATTTTTTCTCATTGAGGATGCGCGTAGTTTATATATATTTTTATATACGAATAAATAGAAAAATTATGGAAATAAGTATGCAAATATTTTTATTCTCTATATGATTATTTTACCAAACAGAATCGTTAATATGCTATATCATAAATTATATATATATATTATTATTTTATGGATAATTATTAGGATATTTCTAAATATAATTTACTTGAACATTTTTCAGGAAAATTCAGTTCTATTTTTGCATCATATTTTTACAATTATTATACAAAAAATTTATGTTATTAAATTTTAACATATATATCTGACATTTTTTAATATTGAAATTAAGACTTATCAAACATTTTACATTTAACAAAATTTAATATATTTCAGTGTATTCAATGTATATATAAATATACTGTTATTCCTTTAGTGATTGAATTTAGCCACTTTTGTTAAATCCTCAAGATAAAATGATTAAAATGTAATACATTGTGTTAAAATAAATATACAATTCTCTTGTATTTATTTGTATTATAAATAATTTATATTATAAACATAATATTATAACATATTTAAATTTTTTCATCTTATCGAAAACACCATTAAGATTTATGTATTAGTGACTCTTAGTATATATTTTTTATGCATTATAATGCTAAATTATATTTATTGTATAATATTGTTCTGTATAAATTATCAATTATATAAGATTTCTTTTTCTGTGAATAAATGTATAAATATCAGTGGTATTATGATATCAATACATTTAGAATTTTGAGATGAATGGTCGTCTTATATAACATTCAATATTATGTAATATATTATATGAAATATTACAGGAACAATCTATGTATGTTCCAACTTGCGCTTGTTCTAAAAATATTATGTTTATTTATATTTTAAAAAATATAATATTATGGATGATCAAATATTATTGAACCCATATATATAAGAGTAATGAAAAATATATACTTTATTAATATTTTAATTAAAATCACATAAATAAAATGTTAATTTTGCGCACAATTACAGTTTTTGTATATTCGAACTTACATTACATAAAATGTAAAAAGAATAGCCAAAAATATCTCGAAAAGGGAATAAAAAATTTGCATTATGTTAAGTGAGAACACATGATTAGATGACATTTAATCAAAGTAACCTAATTATTTTATTTTAAATTATGCACTTTTTCTGAATGTTTTTCTTGAACATAACATCATAGGTTAATATATTTGGATTTGAAAAATCATACTTTTCGATGTTTTATTAGGAGAAGGTTCTATATTTGTAAATTCATAATTTAATAATTTTTCCTTAATAAATCCATTTGTATCATATAATGCAATAAGATATTCCCTTATTATATAGAATGCAATCTCTTATTTGCTTTTTACATATATATATATAATCCATGGTAATTTTTTTTAATGCTTGATTACATAAAATCTGCATCAATAATATTATTTTAGAAATGATTTTAATTTTAAAACATATTATAAACATATTTCAAAACATTTTACCCTTTATCAGTATTATTAGTATATATATAATCAATTTTTTCCCCATGAAATATTTCAGAATTCATGTACATAATAATTCTAAGAAATGTTATATAAACGTGAAATTTTTTTTTTCCTAAAAAAGACTATAAATACTTTTTCAGATACTATATAAGTGAGTAATCTCCTTATAATGTGAGAGATATCGCACAGAGATATGGAATTCCATTTATAAGGGATAATATAATGTTTAGTCAGCATAAAATCTGTTATATATACTCAAATAAGATGATTGTCACTCATATGTAATAGAGAATTTCTCTAAATATATATATATATATAAATTTCTTAATACAATACAACATAAAAAATACCTGATGATAAATTAGCTATATTACTATCAATTTCAGTTAAAAGGCGGAAAATGATTTAATGAACAACAAGATATACATTTTAATAATTGATATAAGTTAAAATAAATAATAAAATATTTAAAATAAAAATTAAATAAAAATAATATTTTATATAAATATTAATTATACGATTTCATACATGATTATTTATCCTTTATTTTTCTCTATATTTGGATTATGTTTGGTTATATTAATTTATATTAACCATATACTTGTATTTTAAAGAAGAAAATATATTAGTTTTACGATATAATTTTTTATAATCATTAATTGTGAATCATATGGATTTTTACTGATATAAATTATATTATAATATAAATATATATTAAGCATGCGCACAACCACATAGTGTAAAAAATATAATTATATCTCTATTTTAATATATTATGGAAAGAATGTAGTAAATATAGTTTAATTTCAAGGTTTACATATGTCATATTGATTTGAATTATCTACCTTTATTAAATAATTTTATAATTCATTATTCCAATAAATCCGTAGTTTATTGTTATTAATAATTTAATAAGATGTTTAAAATTCTTAACATTATTTTATTTTGGTATATCTTTGACAATACATGAACAATAGAATTAAAAGAAATATATTTTTTACAAAATTCAAAAAAAATGTATGAATTTTTATTATATAATATCATCAATTTATTATAGCATATATATTATTATTTAATCATGTAAAAGCTTGAAAATTTTAATGAACCGTTAATGAATATATCAGTATTAATGTATTTTTATATATATTCCATATAATCCCAATCATTCTCAATTTAATTATGTTTCGTGTTATACCATAATTTGTTTTATATAATAATTGTATCATATATTCTATATATTATATATTATAATATGAAAAGAGCCACAATAAAATTTGTTCCTAATATTATATTTCATGTGTTTAGGGTCCTACATGCGCATTTTATCAGCTATTATTAAATTATTCTATTTGTATAACTTTTTCGATTACTTTTAACTAAAAAAAATATATAGTTTCTTATTTTTTGTGTTATTATATTTTTATAATAATATACTATAAGAAACACTCTTCTTGATATTCGTTTATTGGAGATTTTATGTTTTTTAAACAATGTTCATACATAAAATTTTATATTTTAATCATATTATTATGATGTGAGATATAATATATTGTATCTACTATTTTTTTTAGTACTGCTGATAATTTGATAAATTTACAATATATTATATTTTTCTTTTATAATACAGACGTATCTATTTTTTATATATCGTAAATATAAATCAATATATAGGAAGTTAAAGTTAAAATTATTCATACTGTGCCCAAATTTTAAACCAAAATTTTTAAAATTATAATCTAAAGTGTTATAAATTCTGTTATATGATTAGCATGTGGTTGTTTTTTAGTATGGTTATAATTATTTTTACATTTGGTAAATAAAAAATTAAAATGAACCTAAGAATGGAATCAATAATGTATTTAAGAATTATAAAATAAATTTTTATGAAGATATATTGTACTTCATAATTTCATATAATATATTACAAAATTATATAAAAAAAAAATAAAATTTTATATAACGTTAATAATGTAATCATACATTAACACTTTCTATACTATTCATTATTAAAGATGTATGTAATTTAATACAAGACATAAAATTCATTTATAATAAATTTTTATGTTTTAATAATATAAGAAAAAAAAAAAATATTTATTATATATTTAATAAATTCTATGCTTTTATTAAATTATATATATAACTTAAAATAAAATTGTTCTATCTATTCAGGACATGAATAGAATTATTTCTTGTGTATTGACAATATGAAAAATCAATTAATAAAAGTAAAATAATATAATAATGTTAAATAATATAAAGAGAATTTTCAATAATAATCTATATATATAAGAGATGTTATAAATATCATATTCCCTCTAAGGAAACAGATGTAATATATATAAGTATATATAAAGGCAATCATTTAATGTTATTACATAGATTTATTTATTTAAATTCTACAGCAAAATGAAAATAAATTTATTTAGTACTAAAGCATGTGTTATTAAAGAATTCAGATCATATTTAGTTGTAATAAGTCACACCTAGTGTTTTATGCTAAGGGTATATGTTTTTTGTTATCGTAATTTTTTTTTATAGAATATTTTATTGATCAAAATATGCTAACATTCATCATTATAATTTACACAAATTATAAATAAAAAATTCAGAGTCAATATATAAAAATGACTTAAATATTATTTAGAAATAAATATTAGTAGATTAAGCATACTATTTAGTATAATGGTTATATTTGTGTAATTATATGTACTTAGTGCAAATGTATTTAAACATAACCTTGTTCATTTTATTGAATTTACGCACTACAGTGTTCTCCATGGAATGTAATAACGATATATATTTTCATTCTTGGCTGAAAACTAAAATTATGTATTAATTATATATTAAGTACCCAATTTTTATAACTATATGTTTTTATCATTTATTGTATCAACTAACACTAAATTTCAATAATATAATGCCTAAATATTCATAAATTATTTGTTTAATACATAAAAAATTTGTTTATTTTTTTCTTCTGTAACTTATTTTTCAATATAATATTAATTTTTATTAGTTGTCTTAATTTATTTTTTTATTTTTTTTTATTGTGAATGCTATTAATTACAATCATGAATAATATCCAATAATAATTTTTTCCTAATTCAAAATATAATTATTTTATGAATATATATAATATTGTATAAATAAAAGAGTATATTTAATTAATAATTTTTATGGCTTCATTACATTATAACATAATAACTAGTTTTATCTAAGTGTATATCTGTTATATGATTATAACATTTATTAGATTTACAAGAATTATTCGTTATATATATATCAAAAAAATGTATATCATGAGATATTGCACAAATTAAGTACAAAAAATATATTTTGTCCCTACTACTTTAGCTTAATAACATATGGATATTTTTATTTAAGGACGCGTTTATATTTGAACATTATAAAAAAAGTCTTTGCATAAATGCATATAAATATAGCAGTATAAATTTGCTAAACATAATATGTATATGATTTACATAATAAAACATATAAATTACACTTCATTTTATAATTCATTTTGTATCTTCTACGTAAAATCTAATTAATATATAGATTATGTTAATTTGCAGTGATAAATTATATATAATATACTATGGAGTTTGTGGTGGAAGTTTAGCTTTCCATTATTTCGTTATAATGCACTTCAGCTAATGTTCATCTATTGTTGTCATATTATTAGGAATATATTTATTTTAATTTTATTTTTGTGAACTTTTCTTTTATGTTTTATTGTACTGTGGAATAATACAACCTATATATTTACAATTTTTAATCGAATCAAAAAGGAGGCAGAAGTATTAGTTATATTTGTTACTTTAATTATATATAAGCTATTTCTTATTCATTTTACATCGTCATAAAGTATTCTCTCTTTTAGTACACAGAAAATTTTCTAATATAAATAATTTGAATTATAACATATTTATAATAATTTTAATATATTTATATATAATAAATATATTATTATATTTTTTATAGAATTTGTATTTATTAGAATATATTCAATTATATTATTAAAAAATACATTGCCATTATGATTAAATTACTCATTATACATTTAATTTTATTATTAGCATTATTGTTTTTATTATTTATATTATATTTTATAAATACATCATTAATACAATATTTGTCTCTTTTCTATATTTATTTTAGGTATATATAAATTAGTGAAAATAGCGTACATATATTAAAATATGAGATTTGACTGATAATATATAAAAAATAATTATATACATTTTTTTCATCTTTTTATAAATTTGTAAAAAGAAATGTCACATATTAAGAAAAAAAGATGCTATATCATATAAATATTATTAAATATTTTGTATTTACTGGATTTCTAAATATAATATTGTTCAATATAAAAATAGTTTAAATAAGAAATATATACAATACCTACATATTTTTAATTTAAATGAATAAAATGAAAAATATAACGAGTTTATATAACCTAATATATATATTAGGATTAATAAAAATATGCACAAAAAAAAAAGACCTTACATAAGTAAATATAAATAAAACAAAAAAAAATGTATTATAAAAATTCTCTGTTATAATATCATATCCTTCATTATAACAACAAAAGTAATGTTAAATAAAATTTCATATGTTAATATCATAAAAAAAGGAATAGATCAGATTATTAATGACAATTCTTTCATAATATTTATAATACAACGTTAATTATTATAATATATATATAATTATTAGGGATATTATTTTAAATGATATTATAGCATAAAATATGATTGTTTATAATGAAATGTTTTAGATAATTGAATATTATAAGTAATATAACATTTTGTTTGCATATTTATCAATATATTATCTTATATAACATATTATTATATACATAAAATATAGAATATTGAAATAGCAGTTATCATATTTAGAAATAATATATTATATTGAAATATGAATGATAAAAAAATATATAATATTATTATTAATTATTATTTTTCTTGATTGCAAATAACATTATGAGTACCTTGTTTTATTTATAATAAATCATTATTTTACTATATATAAAATTGATATATATATTGAATTTATTATAAGTATTATAAAATATTATTGTTTATTCATGACAAGAATTGTTCTTCACTTATTATGAGTAGAGCAATATATATTTTCATATAGAAGGAAATTTGTTTAGAATTGTATTATTATTTGTAAAATTATATAAAATTATATACAATTTCATAGTTTGTATTTCTATTATTGCATTTTGATAATTCAGAAATTTTTAATATATCATTTTCTTCATGCATATTATTCCACTTTTTTTTCTCTCCTTTTATTTTATGATATATCCTTGAACCATATGGAGTGAACTAATTCAAAATAGAAAAAAATTACTCATTGATAATGTAATTTTAATTAGATAATTTTTTAAAAAAAAATTTATGATAGTTATATAATAGCATAAATATATATTAATAATATAATGATTAACCTTATAAAAAACGAATAGCAATAATAATATTATTATTATAAGAACTGGATTTATGATAGAAAATGCAATATTATTTTTGAAAGATTTTGACACAGGCCATGATTATTTTCACTGTCAATTTTTACTATTTGTATATTTTGTTGTTCTTTAATGATACTTACAGCTTTACAGAATTCCTCATTTTTAGGTTAATCACTATCATCTGTGTTATGAAGACATTTATAAACATCATATGTAACTGCAATTTTTTTCAAGTCATCATCATTAACATTTTTCTCATAATCCGTACTAATATTGATATCGGTATTAATATTATTATATATACTGATCAATTCTTTATATATATTTTTAAAGTCGTAATCGTTATTTCCATTCATAAGATGATACTTATATAACCAATAAAAGAGATATATACACGCAGCTTCATCTAATGTATTGCTACCTCTATTATGTATTTCAAAATTATAAGGCATAGCTTGAGTACATATTTCACTAAAAGTTGATATTTTACTCTTAAAATTACTTTTTTCAATACATATATTTATTAAAGTCTGATTAATATTATTTTTATGTGTATCTATAGCCCTTTTCCATTTAGGGAAATACTCTACAAATGCATACTAAATTAGAAAACAAATTATATTTTTATAAGAATTATACAAGGTTGAAATAAATTTTTTTACATATATCAAAAATTCTGTAAACAAATATAATTGTGTTGTAATTTATGTTATATTAATTTAAATTGACAATATTTTTCTTCATCCTAGATGAGCCTATATTTCTTAGACAATTTACTAGTAAAAATTCTAATATTTATGAATATAAAAATAAAATTATTTAAAATGTATGAAAGAATATTAGTTAAACAATAATGTTTATTCCTTTATTATAGTGTATTAGATGAGAAAAGGCATTTGAGTACTTTATTAACAATGGTTATATAGCATCGTGTATAGTGGTAATAATATGGCAACAAATATTATGTTTTATTAATTATTTTAAGGAAATATTAGAAAAAATTATTATACTTAAAAAACCAAAAAAAAACAGAAAGGTATCTTCTGCTAAAATACAATATTAAATGTATGCATATATATGTAAACTATATAATTTTAATAGTAATCTCAATAAAAAAGGAACGTATATTTATTTATGCTGTGCACTGATAATTTTAATATACATATAATTATGGGTTTTTCTTAATAATTATAGTTTTCAGGATTAATATTCAGGATTTGTCCGTATGTTTAACTTTAAATTTAGGTGTACGTATATTTTATATTATATGTTAGTTATAACGGAGAAAATTAATTCATATTATGGGAAAACTAGATGTATTTTATTTAACTGTAACTAAAAATATGTATTAATAATATAATATATATTAGCATATAATAGCTCATACTAAAAAATGTAAATAAATAATGCAAACATTTATCATTAATTATATTTATATTATTAAATGTTCTATTTTATAATGAATTAATACGACTGAAATATTAAGAGGGGCTCATTTCAATATATGTATAAGAATAATATATTATTGTAATATTTATAATAACCTGTGATACTTGTTATATTCTCAATGATATAATATTTTATATAATAATATAATGACTTTTATAATAACAACATTTTGTTATATAAATCAAAAATCCCGTACTTCAATATATAAAATATTTATTTTTATAAAAATTTATCCGTAAATAAAACATACATTATAAAATTTGTCATGTATTTATATTTTTAAAAATATATTGAATAATATTATGTTTCTGAGATGTCATAAATCATATATATAACTAATAAAATAAAATTATGCATAAAATACTTACTTTATTCTACAAAGAACAAAGTATATATATATACATATATATTCTTACTTCAATTTACGACAGTAATATATAAAATATTATTTATTAATTTCTCTTTTCATTTTTCTTTATTTTTTAATACATATTACATGGACATAAACTATTCAAATACATAATAAATATGTCATATATATTAAGCTATAATAACTTATAATAGGATGTAATTATGAGCATTGAAAATATTAATTTTTTCTAAAATAACTATTTCATTGCTGAAATAAAAATTTAGTATTTAATTTTACATATATATGTTTTATGTATCTTTATTTTATGTTATATTAATATCGAAAAAATTAAATATTATTAATTTTTTTCTAAATTTCATTTAATACATCTATGTAATGAATAAAATTTTCTTAACATTTTTAATGTCAATATTGCTCATTATTCTTTAAAAAGATAATTGATTATATGTTATATGTATTTTCACAATGTAAATTTTTTTTATACATAATTATAAAAAAATAATTTTATCATTAAAATAATTATATATTTAATATATATATTTTTTATTATATTATTTTTCAGTATATTTGTTTCTTGTTTATTCCATGGAAGATTAAAGGGGAAAACTACGTTCTAAAATACTGATGAAGAAAAATATATATTGCAAAAAATTTAAGTCTTATGCATCATTTCAAGAAATAACAAGAATTCTATATTATAGAGTTTTGCTTAATTCTTATATTATATAAAATATATGAATAAAATAATAGGCCTAAAAAAAATTAAGTATTGAATGAATTGTATAAATAAAAATTCCTACTAATAAGTTTATAAAAAAACGAAATAATATTTTACAAATCAATAAAAAAGTAAATATAATGAAAATAAAAAATGTAATAAAAAAATATGTCTTATAATTTTCTTCAATTTTCATGCTAATAAAAATTGTATGTAATACAATTTTATGTATTAATATATTAATTGTGCAGAATGTGATATGATTATTATTAAATCATGTTTTACCTAATGCAATAACAACATACATAAAAATAATTATTAATGTTAATATTTAATAATTTAGCATGCACTATAAAATATTACACTGTAACGAAACATTCTGATATATACGCAATTAATATATATAAAACAAATTCTTTAAATATCATAATTTGTAATTTCTTTATGTATCAATTTTTTATTCTATAGTATGCATTATTATTTTATTTTGAATATACCTCTTTATTACATGGATACACAGAATTCAAGAAAAATTTATTCTATTAAAATAAGAAAACTGGGAAATGAATTCATAATATAGTTTCTTCACTTTTCTGCATTGCGTAAATTATACTTCGTGAATTTTTAATGTACATATGTTGAAATATATTAGTAAATTGACAAATAAATATTTGTTTTTGTTTCATTATATTAAAAAAAATTATTCATGCTTATAAAAATTTATTAAGAAAAATATTATACTATCAGTAATACTTCAATCTTTTTTTAAGATGTTTAAAGAGCTAATACCTGAGAATTATATAATTTGTACTAAATGTTTTTAGCATTATATAATGTATTACACTATCTATTCCAATATATAAAGTTATAGGCTTATGAAAAATCCAATATATTCCATAATACATCCACACCCTTCCACTCATTTTTTTTCATTTTTATTTTATATATCAACCATCAATAATATATCCAGATCTAATTAATAAAAAAAAAAAATATACTAATAATATAATTTTGGTTTCCTAAATCTTCATTTTTAAAGTGTTTAGAGATTCTATTTGATATTATAATTGTGCTAAAATAATATATTAAATAGCTTTACATGCAACAATTGAAAAGATTGACATTGATAATGCGATGATAGATCGAATTATAAAATGTGTTATTAGTTATATATTTGGCTTAAGGATATCATTTGATATTGATGTTGGAATGAAAATAACATTCGAGATTTAAACTTATCACAAGATTTAATTTATTACATTATTTCGGTTTATATCTAATTTAAATGATTTACAAAAATAAGGATCATTTTTTGATTATCATATGCTGTTGCAGAGATCTTATATATGAAATTATTCATCTACAAAATTGCATAGGGAATTGTGACAAGATAAATAATTAATTGTATTTATATTGTTAAGATTAGTATTTAAATGATATATATATTAAAATTTTAAGAATATACCATAGGAAATAATAAAGTAATTATAAGCACTGCATATGGGAAATACATACTTGGAATTATATTATAGAATTAATATAATGGTTTTTAATATGGGCACTTGCCTTAATAATAATAGATTTATAATATTGTTCATAATAGCAGTATATGCAACCAATATACGTGTAATTATTTATATAATCTCATGACAAATATTTTAAATCATACACAATTTTGAAAATGTTTTTGTATAAAGAATCTTGCTTGCTTATCTTATCAATCACATTACTAGACTGATACATAAGTTTCCAATTTAAAATTAAATTTTAATAGTTATTATGTCACTCCCATTTATTTTAGTCTTCGTTTTATAAGTATACATGGTTATAATAAAGTGAAATTATAATATGTTATTATAAAAAACACATATTATATTGTGAACGAGTAATACATTTATTTAAATTAGAAAAGAAAAAAAATTAAAGCTAAGAACACACATAATAAGATAATACGTGAAGATAATTATACAGTTTCCTTATTTATAAAAAGAGATAGTATAATAATAAGTATTAAAACTATGTAAAATGTTGTTAGTTTTAGAGTTAATTCTTTAGTATTTAGCTACTGCATTATATTTATATGAAATATTATAGTATTGTGTTTAAATGAATTATGTTAATCTATATGAATTCTATGTTAACGACAGAATTAATATATAAGAATAATATTATACATAATTTTATTTGGTTGTATTAGGTAATGTAATTTAAGTTTATAGCCTATATTTACACCTTTTTACGCAATTATATTATAAGAATTAATTTATTTCAAGAACGATTTATTAGTAATAATTTATATGATATATTTTTTTGCATATATATAAATATAAAATGATATTTTTTAATGTGAATTATATATTTTTGTTATGTCATTGTAATAGCTTTACATTTTAATCATTATTGCTTAAATAACACTAATGCGTAATGAAATAATGACTTTGTATTACCTAAATAATAAAATATACTATAAAAAGCACCAATATATATGCAACATTTTTCGTAATTATCAAGTATATTTTATTTTTATTTCTATTTTATAATGTTCTTTTTTATCACTATTAAATGAATTAAAATTATATTTGTTGAATATAGCTAATGATTATATTCGAATGAGAAAAAAAAAATAACATTTTACATTTTTTTATGGTACAAATAAGAAAAAGATAATTATTCTAAAAATATTATTGATATTTATGATTAAATTGTAACACATATTATTATATAATGCATATGTAATATATGTATATAGAGATAATTCAATATTGCATGCCAATTATGTCCTGTATAAAATGAAGGAATTCTATAAAATATATATCAAAAAAATTCGTAATGAATATATCATTTTTATAAAAATAAATATTTTCAAATTAATAATTTATTAATTATTAAATTATAGAAAAATTATTAAATATTTGTTAAATTAAATCACTGATAACATTGATGATAAACATATTTTAGTATGCAACAAATTTTATTTTTTTAATGAATGTATGTATATTATTATATAGGTGTCATATTACATTGTATTGAATAATTTATATGTATAATGAATCTTGAAGTGGAAATTTATTATATAATGTGTTCACAGTTGTTATGGAATATTAGTATATGTCAATTTTTATAATTATAATTCAAAAACACATGTGAATATTAAAATTATGGTCTTGGTAGCTTTCAAATTAATTTATTGCTATATAAAATTTG